CAAAGAAAAGCTTAATTAGCATCAATTGTGACTAGCTGTAAAGAGAAATACAATCCATGCAAAACCTCTTTTCTTAGCAGTTTGCATGAAATGGCAAGTGATACTTAAAATGTTGATGGGCTCAATACTCCAAGGAAATCATTGAAGGGACTTCTTCTTCTCTTCTTTGAGCCACACACAGTGGGAGAGAGAGAGAAAGAGAGAGAGAGAGAGAGAGAGTAAGAAGAGATTCATCAATTAATCTGGTGTTTTGGACTCGTACCCTCTAACCAGCCTCTTTCTGGATTTGACTAAGTGATCCTAGTTTTAACCCATTCACTCCCATAATCTTATTAAGCAATTCTCCTTACTACCCATCATACGATCCTTATGATTTTAATTTGGAGAATGTAGTATTTTATCATTATGACTTATCTCCTGTGATATCATTTTGTTATTGAAAGGATAACCTCTATCTTGATCACTAATGGGATTTCAAGGGTTAACTTAAAGAGTCATGCAGCCAAGTCAATGCATCCTATCAGTTAAATAATTATTGCTTAATTAATTAAAGCCTCTTAAAATTCATTTAGGGAATTTAACTTGAGGTTTACTTATACTGGTCCTGAAACCCCTATGGGGTAGTTATAGTGTCTTTAATTTTAGTCTTGACAAAAAAGAAATATAGTGATTTGATTGTTTAGCATAACATTTTGTGAAGTCTTCAAACAAATTTTCTACTTATCTTAAGCCTTTGACACCTGAAGAGAATCATCAATGTTTAAATTTGTATTAATTTTAAAATAACTTGTCTGGAAAAGAAAGGAAAAAAGAAAGGATAAAGGAGAGAAAAAAGTAACACTTATATTTGATCAAATTTAGGATTAATTTCTTTCAACAGAGCAAACAAAAATTGCTCACCAAGCTCAAATGAAATCTTTCATAAAAGACACGAGTTCCTTCAGGAGATTTCTAATTTATTTCAAACTATTGACTCCTTTCAACAGAAGATCAGTGTGTAACTTCTTGTGAAATCATCCATGACCTCTCAAGTAAAGAGAGTAAGAAAAAAAGGGATCAAAGGAAACACTTTAATTCTGATATTTTTTATTTCAGGATTGATTTCTTTTGAAGTAGCACAATCGAAATTATTTGCTGATCTCAGCTGAAGTTCTTTTAAAAAGAGATGACATGTCAAAGATTATTCACGATGAAACGGTTAACAAAACCTATCTTAAAAACATGTACACTCCAAAATTTTATTAACTTAATAAATTTGTTCTCTCACTTAGGAACCATCATTTAGCAGCTCACATATTAAGAGAGAAGTCAAGAGCATTTTTATTCGAATTTATAATCGTCAAGGCTTTGCATATTTATTAAGCACCGAAAAAATCCCCAATAAAGAGAATTTCTGAAATGTCTTAAAATGACGTCAGCCAGATTAGATCTCGAAAATTCAGAAACCGAAAAATTTCAATAGTTTTAAAGTAACTTTTCGCTTTCTCGATAGGCACCATAATTGCTAACCAACAAATTACACAGAGTTCTTTGCAAAGTTCAGGCCTGAACTAAATCAAGCGTTAACGTTTTACAGCCGTACGAAAATTAACAAAACATTACCATGTTGAATTGTAATATATGCTGAAGGCATCGCAGACGTCAACGAATTAACATAAACAAAAAATTAAACTTTAACATTAAAATTTTAACTTTACTATTCTTAGTTACGACACAAATAAGAGGCTTCCAAATTCCATTCAATTAAATTTCCAGTAAGAAAAAATTCACATCTTGTTCCGAAAGCGCTTCGTTACGTATCGTTTTCAGCTTATCTCGAAAGTAACTAGGTTTCAAATCTGCATAATAAAGTCCTATATTGACACCTCGACCTCCACTGTTACCCTACATAGTACAGACAACAAACTCACCAGAAATAACGATACAAGCGTCTTCTGACCGCCGTTTCATCGTCCGGTAAGCTGCATCTGCCAAGGCAAAAAGATGCGGTGGTCTCTCGTACAGTTCTCGCATCTTGTATTCTTGAATTTTATCGTTTCCAAAGATATTCAAAGTCTTGTACGGGTTTACTGAAATAAGCACTTCTCCTATGTACGTGTAAATTCGCTCCTTTTGAAAACGTAGCTTGAGGTTGGCCATGAAGGCATTTTCTGTGATTTCATCCAAAAGGACAAAATCTCCTTTGCCATACTCCAAACTCTCCTGCTCCGCCATACTTGTTGATGTAAAAAGTTTTGGTAAGGTGCGGAGTTTTCACCAACAGATTTAAGTTGTCAGGGTCGAACGTTGTGATTGGTCAAGAAAATCCCTTAACCAATCACAGATACTGACATATTGTGCGTCGTGACCCGGTAAAGTGGGCGGGAGAAATTCAAAACATGATGAAGACGAAAGTAGACAATTTTTTTAAATGATATGTCTTCGTTTCCGGTCAAATTATGGGCGCAGCTTTTCCGACGACTTAAAAAACTAATCTATCACGTAGTTTTAAAACAACAATTATAAAAAATAATAATGATAAAAAACACGTAAAAACATGCTTTTTCGTCAGGTATCTTTATCAATTAATTGTTTACTTTCAATGATTATCACTTCAATCAGTTCAAACCATATATGTAATACATAGTTCAGTACGTATTTGAGTATTATACCCAAAAAGGTTATTTTAGTCAGATCTGAGCGGACACGATATTAGCTGTTCCCATATAATCGGAACTGCTTTCTATATTTAACCTTCAGTAAACCCCTCATGATAATTTTCCGCATTTCATAATTACATATTTTAAATACACGTCCTTTGACTAAAGGTGTCTCATATTCTTTGAATAACGTCCCACTTAATTCTCGACGACGCAAATCAAGCGGCAAAATACTGATGAAGACATTTTTTAAAATCTCCTCTGCGAAATCAACTCTTTTAGTAAAAAACCTACAAGGCTCCGGGATTTTCAACATGATACAAAGTGAAAAATTTCAGTGCCCTCTATATACGACGATTTACCCAATTTTCAGTTTAAGAGCATGCAAATACGAAAATTCGGGCGCCACCTCTACACAATTTTTTTTCTAGGGGGGGGGGGGAGTGGGTTTGTCTTTTGCCATGCAGCTTACCCTGGGAAATTTCGCGCTCGGCATACCCAGACGCAATCAGCCTTGTTTGTTGGATTTTTTCAGTTATCATGAGTTGTCTCGAATGCACGACTGTTTTCCTTTTATTTGTTGTGGAAGCTGTCTGCTCTTTCTTTTTCGTTTTCTTCGGTTGTGGTTTAACAATCAACTGGCTGGGGGAAGAAACAGCTCGAAACGTTTTTTTTTTATGCTTAAAAGCATATCTTTGTGCTTTGGATTCACTAGTGCTTTTTTGGTGAACATTTTGACTTATTTTAGCGGTGGGTTCTTCAACCCTGCATTAACCATTGCTTTAGCGGCAAACAGAAATATATCACCTAAGAGGGCTGTATGTATTGTGTGGGCACAGCTCACTGGCGGTAAGAAATACTGATTTCACTCGCAAGGAAACTATGTGGATTTCCTTGTAATTAATAAATTCATATGAGGCCTCTCGATATATTTTAAGAATATTTGTGTTCCCAAGGTATAACTTGTAAGAAAAAACTAGAAAATGAAAGCACCGTATTTGTTCATCTCTATTCGTCTAGCTTGTAGCTTTCCCGCTAAGTTTTAGTGCCGAAACTTTGGCTTAGAATCTCAAATCTTGCTAAGTTCATAGATCTCGCTGGTATATCTGCCAGACAGCAAAAATGTCTTCATGTACACTGAAAATAATACGGTTGGAATTTTTACATTAAATTTGGGCAATTTTTGCAAAGATTTCTGTTGTGTTGAGGAAGAAGGAAAATTGGACGTAAAGAAAATGGTATGATAGTTATTAGCTGTTAAAAGCTTTGGGCATGGTGTAACTAGTGAAAAAAATTACTGACCACCAAGATGTTTACAAAGGCTGAAGTAGTTTTGGTGTAGAATTATTTGAGCAGTTTACTTGTATTTAGTTGGAGTTTGAGCAATTTTTCAGTGTAAAAAAGTTTGCTTTTCATTGTGACCTCCAGAGGCAAGTTATCTTTTGCCTATTTTAATATCTTGTCTATTACTGTTTGGTGTTCATGAATTTTTTCTGCCCGTTTCTTTAGGTTTACTGGTTAGGCCCAATATTTGGTGCTCTTTGGCAACAGGGATCTACAGTGTGGCATGCAGTTTCCCTGTTACTTCAGCAGAGGAGCTTGTTATTACTAGAAGGGAGCAAGGGAGCTGCAAGGAAATGCAGAACAAGCCATGAAATTAACTAAATTAACCAAATTATCTGAGAGAACGAAGGGGTAAGTTTCTAAAGAAACTGTGGTGCTGCGTCGGTGGGAGAGTATAGCAGGTAATTTAGTGTTAACAACTGGGTTGAAAACGTAAATTAGCCACCGTAAAGAGCAAAAAAGCTGACGTTTCGAGCGTTAGCCCTTCGTAAACGCTCGAAACGTCAGCTTTTTTACTCTTTACGGTGGCTAATTTACGTTTTCAACCCAGTTGTTAACACTAAATTACCTGCTATCTGAGAGAACCTTTACCAAGCTGTGACATACAAACCCAGGCTCCCTATGAATTGAAAAGAACTGTGTAGTGTTTATTTGTGTACAGCACAATCCATATCAGAAAAGTGGATTACGTATTGTTACTCTTTCATGCCTTCACTAATGTTTAAATGAGTGAGGAGGAATCCCAATGGTTTTTTTTTGGGGGGGGGGGGAGGGGGGGATTGAATCTTATTGCTATAATTAAATCAAACAATGGTTCATTTTAGCAAAATTTAAGTTGACATTTAGACCAGTCATACCAACTTCAGAGGTACATGTTGAAAGATATACAATTTAACACCCAAGGAACTTTTCTGAAATTAACATTGTATTACATTAAGTTAAAGTACTTGAATTTTAGTTGGTTCATTTTAAAAACCATGAAGCTGAAAATTTACTGTTTTGGTAAAAAATTTCAAATTTATTGGTTCAGATGATTTAATTATGGTTGTGTTTACATCAGCAGTATAAGGTTAACTGTACATGGCACATATTTGTATCTACAGACGGCAAATACAGGCACTGGAAGATGCTTTGCCCTATTTGTGGGCACCGTGTTTATTTACAAAATTGTATAAAAATAGAATACTCTATTACTTATTTCCTCAAAGCTAGCCAGGAACTATTTGCCTTATATGGATGAGCATTTTTATAAAATCTCTTATATAAATGTATGTTCACTCTAACTGGTCACTTTGTATTTCTTGCATTTGAAACAAACATTTCTGTGAGATGACCTTGGACATATATTAGTAACCTAATCTTGACAAACAGTACTTGGTATCAAAAAGTGCTGAATACTTTTTGATGAGAGCATTTTCCTCTACCTCAAATTTGAATAAAGTGCTGTGATAACAAAGCTATCAGGCCAGGGAAGTCATTTTCTTCTGCTTCTCTTTAGGGTCTTTTCCTTCTCCCTCTTTGGTGGTGGAGCATTGCCAGAGGTAATGAGACGCTCGTACAAACTAAATGCAGGGAAAGAAGTAAAGAACATTCATTGTGAGAAGAGGGGCAGTAAAGGATTAATGATTGAGGAAAAGAATGTCTTCTGCAACAAACCTCTTGTATCCATCAGTTTTGATGTACACAAACACATGTGATGGTCCCAGAACAATTTGATCTTCAAGCTGCTGTATCCATGAATTCCCTTCAGGTTTGAAAACATGCCGCGGGTTACCCATGTCTAGCTCACCTTCAATTTAATCATTTCAGGAGAACATTTTAAAAATTAGAGTAACTGTTGTCAAGTATTGTGCATAGGAAGAAGAACATTAGGATTGCATGTTGGGTGTGGTCTGTCAGTCATAATGTTAACTGTCCCCAATAGCCTACTTGATTGCAACTAATTTTTTGCCCCTTTTGGAAGGGGGGAACTCTAGAATTTTGAACACTGTACACATTACCTAGTTCTGGAGGTAGAGCAGTGAGTCTGTTGTTCTGAAGATGAAGTTCCTTCAGTCTACTCAATTTCCCCAGCTCTTTTGGTAGTTCAATCAGATCATTGTCTCTCAACACAAGCTGCAACAATAAAAAACATTTATAAACATTTTACCTTTGGTATCATGAAATTGTTTTGAATTTTTATTCACGTGATTCACACTAAAGACTATAACTATTTAGTCCTTGGCTATGAGTACTAAAATTTAAGACCTTCGTTAAATCTTATTATAATCTTAATTTCAGCAGTTACCACTTGAAGGTTTCTGAGCTCTCCTATTTCTGGTGGCAAAGTTTCAAAGTCATTGTCTCCCAGGTAGAGGCCTCTGAGCTGTTCTGAAAATGAGGTGTACTTTCATTAGATTCATTTAAATGCCTTCAATTCAACCCTTATTTTACAGCATGGTACTAGCAACCTAGTACATAACTTTTAAAAATGGTATATGAAAATAAAGCTGCAAAAGATTTTATCTATTATATCTAAAAATGAGGGAATCTTCATATACTTGCAAGAAAACTAGACAAGTTTGCAAGGAGTTTGGTAGCATTGATTTTCTGCCTTTCCTTTGTGGCTGGTGATATTTGTAAAACTTACTCATAACAGAGAAGTTTCCTGGTAGTGACTTCTCATTGAGGTTATTATATGTTAAATCCAAGATTTCCAATCCAGATGCTGTTCCCAAGCCTCTGGGCAGGGAACTTAGTCGATTTACCCTGAAAAATACAATCATTAACTGATTCATGATAAATGAACATAGGGGTAATTTTATAAAAAAAATGTAGTGCTACACCAGTGGTTTGTTTTATAAGATAATTAGTCTTGTCATCTGAGTTGATAGTGTAAACTGGCCACTGCAGAGAGTTTTTTAAGGCTGATCAATCACACATTAGCCCTAAGTCAGCTCAAAACATCAGCATACAAACTCTCTACAATGGCTGAGTTACATTATCAACACCTTTGATAAACCAAATTATCTTGGGCTATGAAAAATCTGAGTGTAGACAACTAACTAATCCTGCAAAGAAGGGAAAGAGAGATTTAATTGTTTGTGACCACTAAAATCAGTTGCTGGTCATGGGCTGATCTAAGAGGTTTATTAAGGGAAAGAGATGGCTGTTACAACAGTAAAAATAATGTTTCTTCATTAAGTTTCAATTGTCCCGCAAATGCCTAACACATTACAATCAGGCAAAAAGTTATAGAACAGCTGGTCAGCTTAGCAAAGTTCACAAGAATCACAGACATGTACACTTTAATTTATAGAAAGTTTATAATTATCTTCTTTCGAGTGCTTTTCTTAAGTAGGGCTTTTCTCCCTTTTTTCACCTTAGTTATTGTACTAAGCTAGTGTGGATGGATGAATGGACATTGCTGTTCATGACATATGAGCTGAGCATAGAAAAGTCTACACATCATGATTGAGAGCCAATTACAATCCAGCTGTCAGCCTTCTCAGTTGCTTAGTTGGTACACATTTGTAATCCAAAATACTTACGCTGCATTGAAGTGTCTTAGTTTCTTCAAGGAGCCTAATGACATGGGCAGCTCCTGAAAAAGATGCACATGAGAAGTTGAAAGCTTTTTTATAAGATTTTTTAGCACATTTCCCAAAAACCTGCAATCAAACCAGTGCAATACTGGACACATATAACTGGTGAACACTATTTGTAAATGACATACCTCAATATGATTATTAAACACATTCAAGAACTCCAGGTTTTCTAGTGAACCAATGGATTCTGGGAGAGCTAAATTGAAATAACAAGAAATACATGCAATAATATTTCAAAGAATTTATCAGAAAGCACAAGTTTCTCGCTAAAGTTAGAGACTCTGCTGTCACTTTCACAGTCGGTCACAACACCATAGAGTACTACAAACTATACTTCTTACAAGCACCTTCAGGAAAATTTCGCAATTTTATATATGAGGTTTCCAGCAGAACTGATTGATTAGTAAAAAATTTCCTTTTCTTGGCGTTTTGAATGACAAGAACATATCATGGTGTGGTTTGCCATTAAAACAATTTCCAACTTATAAAGAGCGAATTAGTTTTTTTTTTAGACGGTGACACAACAAAGTTTTCTCTATGATGGGTATTTCATATCGGACAGTATAACTATGCACGATTTTCAAATAATCGTCAAAACATTCATCATTATCCTGAATTTACAGACTACAGCAATTGTTGGCCTAACTGAATGACTTGACGGACCACTGCGAAAAGTATTTCTCTTTTTACAAATGACAATTATCTCCCACTCTTTACGAAGCATTTGTGACAGGATGTGGCCCTAACCCTACTAAGGAATGTCCAGAATTTCCCAACTTCACACCCTTTTGAACAGAAAAGATAAGATTCTCATTGATCTAAAATAAAACTCACATGTTATTCTGTTATGACTCAAAGTAAGGCGTACCAAATGCCTCAGCTGGGCTGTAAAATAAGAAAAAGAGTGATAAATAAACGATAACTCGGAACTCAAAGTCAGGGAAAGCACAGCTGAAAAAACCCTTCGATGACGATCACTAAACATCATTGTTGATGTACAAGTATCTGTTTCGAAGACTTCGCAAAACACTTACTCAGTCCTGGAATATCTGCAATCGTAGACAAGCTTTTGTCACAGAGATCTAGCTCTGTATAACCTTGATCCTTTGTCTCCTCGACAAGTTTCTTCACTGACTTCGACATCTTCAACAGCTTCGCGGCTTTCTAAATCGTCGTGAAATGTATTGGGATTTTCTATGTTGTATATGCCTACTTATAGTGTGACCATAACATTACCTCGGAAGCGCGTGACTTCAGCCTCGGTTTCAACCCACATATCTACCGAAATGGCGACATCTCAGGACTAATTTTGACATTTATCTTGTGAAAGTATAGAATTGCTTAAAATAATTCTTTGAACACTTTATCACAATGTCATATCAAAAAGGAAACGAGCTGCTGGACAAGCTTTCGCATCTTCTTCAGTTACACGGTGCGTTTTCAACAACATAAATTAGTTTGTATTTTCTTTACGTGCGTCACTCACGTACGCCGTAGTTCGAGATCTTTGAATGGTTTTTCTTTAAAACTTTATTTCCTCGCTCGCTAAATAGAAAGTCTGTTATTTTGAGATAGAGTAAGCGTGCATGTGCCATGTGAGGAGGAAATTGGCATTGCACATCGTTGGTGAACAACTTAAGATCATTTGATCATAGTCATGTGATGATGTTAGTTAATATATGACATGTACTATGGCTCAAACACTGTTTCCTCTGAACACAAAAACTTTTCGTTGACTAGTTCATTTGACAGTTAGATCTTCATCTTTTTGTGATCATTGCTTATAGAGGAGAGGGTAAGCGCGCAGATTTCTAAGACGGTTCAAAGCGTTCTATTTCCTTGTTTTTTCATGAATGTAAATTTTCATTTATCAAAACAGAAATTGAAGCTTGCTGAAATATTTCCTATGGGCTTTGAACAGTTATTGCACTACTCGTTCAATCATTATTAGATGACATATTCACTTGATTAATATATGATTCCACTTTAAAGAAAACATTTGTTGAATAGAAAATTTTAATCCAGACATTACTCCAATACTTTCAGGACAAATGTCTAAAATGTTATTCCTTGTTTTCCTGGAAGATACTTAGTGAGATGTTCCTAGAATGGCGAGACAAAGGAATGTTGAATAAATCGCGATACTGCCCAGAAAGTGTTGGAGTCACTTTTCACTTAATACATTGAACATTGTAGAACTAAAACTTCTATGCAGTCATGTGTGTTTTCCTGGTGAGATATTTTTTCCTATGGGGGTGGGGGGTATGGAGAGTCTCTCTCATTCTTGCTTTGCTTTCATTAAGGAATGAAAGTGTGCTAAATTTAATATAGAGATTATTATTATGTCAGAACTGATGGAAATTTGACCTTTCCCTACTTTTCCAGGAGATCCTATCTTAAGACAGGAAAGTCAGTTGTGCTTAACAGCCACATCAGTTGTGTTCCTCACTGAATGCTTTGAAAGTGTATCAGGTAAAGAGGAAACTGGAATAGGGTGTCTCCTGAATCAGTTGTTTGTCTTGACTAATACAAATATCTTAAAGTTTTTAATGAGTGATAATATTACTACAAATAATTTTAAGAACATTTAAGGTACATTTTGCACAGGAAGGACTTGGTTATCATTTATTGGCAGTGTATATCTGGTATAGATCTGTTAAAAGCTGTACAAAACTTAAGAGATGATATGTGACCCTCCATGGGAGAACAGACACTAACACTTTTCCTGTTTAAAATGTGAAACTGTTTATTTTCCTTTTTAATGCTTTTGTTAAAATGTTTAAGCAGTTTGCTCATCTGTTTAAAAAAATTTGCATTTGGTTAATGCTGTGGCAAAAACAGTTTGCTCATCCGTTTTAAAAAAACCAATCTGTTTAACACTCCAGGGAAAACTTTAAACTGTTTCTTTATCATTCTGTTATGAGCAGTTTGAAGTTACAGTCTTACATTCGCTCAATACTCGCTGGTTCTTGAAATACAGAGTGATGGTATTTTATTTTGGTTTTATCTTTTCTGTGATCATAGAAAGCGAGTAATTGTTGCATCCTTGGACAAACGAGTCAAGTTAAAATATCCGTTTGTACAAACATAGAGCATTAAGAGCCAATGAAGCCATTCATTTGACCATGATCCTGCCATCAATCTTGTTTGATCAGAACAGTGCACCTGATCTTGTTAGTGGGTGAAAACTCTCTCTTTCCATTAAAGCAGCCTCTTCTGACAAACCTTTCTCTGTGAAGACCACCTCTTTCTCTCCTTGTTGTTTTAAGAGGCTTTTCTTTGGGTTGTCTGGCTATTTTGTTCTTTTCAAAAGAGCCATGATGCAGTGTTCTCCTTTAAGGCAGTAATCATAAGATTAACTGCCAGTAGTACCTCTTCTTACCTCCTAAAATTGCTTGGAATTCTTCAAATTTCAGGTAAAAGGATTTGTTTTACCTGGCACACTTAAAATAGGAGAAAGATATAACTTAAATACATAATTGTATGTAAGTTATGGTTTCAGTTTTTCTTTGATCAAAAATCTCCAGGCCCATGGGATTTTAATGCGAGTATGTTCATTTTTTTTCCATAATCTTAATCAAAGGAATGTAATTAAACTGATTTTTTTTTCCATTGGTTTGAAAATTTTTAAACTGAACTTTCATACTTGCATTTCAATTCAGTCCCAAATTAGTTGTACATGTACACTAAACTTAGCTGTTTGCCTCGTTCAATTTCAAGCTATGATTCTCTCATACCAGGTCAACAAGGTGTTCATGAGAGAGAAAATGTCTTCAGTCAACAGCAACTTGTTCATAACAAAGACAGAAAAGCTATAACATTCCTTCATGACTTTCTCAGAAGGACACCTTCACTTCGGGTAATATGAGTTTGAATGCAGTGATTTTTTGTTGCATGTATTAACATGTTGATATTTCTAACAGAATTAAACTACATTCCTGACCATATTCAAGGAACCTTGCCTCTTCTGTAGTAGCTTTCTAAGCTAAAGTACCTCTCATAAGTAACTTGACAGTCTCTTAGTGGTGACAACTGTTTCCTATTTTCTTTTAGCTTGTACCAGGAGCATGTTCCCATTTTGATGGACTTATCAACATTTCTTGTTTCCAAGCATTGCAAGTATTAGAGGTAAAAAACCTGTAATTTAAAATCTTATACATGTACTTGTGTGAACTATAGGCAATCTGGCTATTGTAGTATCACTGTTAATATACAATTTTATGACTGCTCATGTAGCATCACTACCAAATTTGACATGCAGCTTATTCTATTCAACAGATCAAGAAAGTTCCAGTAGGATTTATTAGAGGAATTCAAAGCTTACGACCCCAACTCAAGACACTAACATGTAATAAGTCACTTATCTCACTCAATGTAAGTATGCACTTACACTGATTATTGTATGTTAATTGGGAGTCATTTTGGCCTTGGCATTGTCTGGAACACATATTAAGAGGTCTAGAATTGTGACCGGCCATGTCATTCTCACTGTTGTTTTCTTGGGCATGACACTTCCCTCTTGCAGAGCTTCAAATTCTCTCTATCCAAGAGTATACAATCATGCAACTCAGTCAATTATATTATTATTTCTATACTAGGAAGTGTTTTTTCATTGTGGTGGAGATCTCTCCAATGCCCCATCAGCTTGGCCTCAACTGAAAACTGTGGATTTCAGTTACAATGGCATCGTGCAAGTTGATGCTTCTGTGGTTCGTACTTTTCTTTACAGTTGGACTTGTAATATTTTAAAATCAAAATTAATTTTCAAATACTGTACATAAATTTTAATCTAGCTGTAGTGGCAATTTTTGCCAGAGAAAGTTGACACAATTATCTCCAGGCCTGGTTTGCAAATTGATTTGTGCCATCCAAGGATGAAGTACACTGGTATGAAGTATACCAGGATGAACCATTTAACTGTTCTTACATTGTACATGCTCAAATAGAGCTTCTGATTATGAATCACTTTGACCAATATGTAGAATTCTTGATTTATATTTGATGAGGAAGAGTACTTCAAATTTATACATAAATGAGCTTAACTGCACACCTTGAAAAAAAACTGCAATCGTTGTTATTACAAGTGTTAATAACAAAATAGAAAAGATTTTCAAAGTTGATCTTGTCCATTTTATTTTTAATAGAAACTATTGCCAGCAGCTGAAGTCCTCAATCTTAGTCATAACAATATTAATGTCACTGAAGGTGATGAGTCTTTGGTTAATTGGCAGGTAAGAAATCAAAGCAAATTTTGTTATTTTTTCTTTCTTTCATCCTTTATTTTTGGACCATGACTTTTTAAGTGATTGCAATGCCATGAATTGATCATTTTTTTCTGAAAAATTTCCTTTGTTTTTTTGTTGCAGTATTTGTCTGACATCCAACACTTGAACTTGGGATTTAACCAGTTAGAATGTATTCCTGTGCCACCAGCTGAAGACAGAATACTAATCTTCAAGAACATGACCACACTTTTATTGAAAAATAACAACTTGCAGAATTTGAAAGGTGTGATGTACATGTAGCTTTTATTTATGGGAATTGTTTTAAGTCAAATGGAGACTTTGAACAAGTTGAACATGAACCCCTAGAAAGCCTTAACATATAAATTTCATGCTGATGCAGTTATCACATGAATCTATGGCCATTGAGAGACTTTTTTTGAGCCCATCAACATGACCACACTAATTGAACCTTCAAGCAATACGCATCCACTAGCTGTAAGTCACTTGGTATAAAACAACATTTATGTACAACATTTTGACATAAGCTTTTATTTTCTAATGTTTCTTAAGATCAACCCTGTTACTTGTGTTTTCCAATGTTATTTGCTTGTATACAGAGTCTGTTTTTATATTTTGTACTTTTCTGTCTAGGTCTCCAAGCTTTCTCCAAATTACGAGTCCTTGATGTTTCTTTTAACTGCATAGTGGCTTTATCAGAACTTACACCACTAGCTTATCTTCATGACCTTATATCAGTGAGTAATTATCATCCTTTCAGTTACAAATCAGATTTTTAGTTAATTAGTGCATTTATGAAGTATTTAAATTATTGTTGATGAAATTATTATGATTATTTTTTCTGTTATTTCAGTTAAACCTTCAAGGAAATCCTGTTGTATTCTGTCCTTACTACAGACGAGCTACAATTGCCTGTTTATATCCTATACCTCGAGTTGAACCAGTAAGTAGACTAGACATTAAAGAAAGAGTGTGGGATTAATTTATTTCACCTCATTGAAGGTCATGAGTATCGATTCCACTTACATGTAATTATTAGGTCTACATTTCATTATTTCCATTTAGTACCCCTTGGAGTTGGGTCATTTTTGTAACCTATGTTATTATGTGTACTAAACATACTATATTGACTGTAATGACATTCTCTGAGTAGCAATTCCTATTTGGTGTAAGTTTTTATTATTCTCAAAATATTTTTGTCTGTTGCAGATCAAAGTTGATGGGAAGCCTCTAGATTCTGAAGAGCAAGTGGTAGGTTACATAGTTCCTTCACAGAAATTTTTTAATTTGTTGAGACAACTACTATAAAGTATAATACTGGTAACTTAAATTTAATCAAGATACCTTTTTGCCCACTGTAAGGCTTTGCCACCAACTATAAAGCATAATGTTAAAAATATTAAAATGTGTGAACCTCTTAATTATTTTCTAACAGCCCTTAACTCCCAAACTTTGAGGTTTTTTTTTGCATGTAAATTCAGTATACATAAAATTTCCCTTAAGACCCAGATCTCTATAGAGTGCTGTATAGAAAGTGTACACAAATTCTGAGATGGCATGTTTGGGGGACCAAAATTTACATGTACAGTAATATTTTTTTAAAGGAACAATTTGCTCTTCCAAAAATTTTATGAGGATAAACAGACTTCTGATGGCGACAGAGTGTTATCTTCAAGTTGATTTAAATTAAGAAAGGAATATTGTAAGCTAACTAAATGCTTTGTTGAACAAACTATTTTTGCAGCTCCTTGGTAGGAATGTGCATCCAGTATCCATGTTGTCTTATATACCTGAAGCACCAGTGCAACACCATCGTGTCAGAACCATCAGGAAAGTGGAGGAAGATTCAATGGAATCATCGGAGTCTCAAGAAGAGTCGTCAGATTCTCCATCCAAACCTAGAAAATCCAAGGTGAAGAAAACTATTTAAGAAAAATTTCACTCTAACGTCTCCATGTAAACCTTGAAAATCTAAGGCAAAAAAAAACATTTAAAGGAAACTTTTGATCTCAGGTCTCCACGTGAACCTAAGAAATCAACAGTGAAGAAAGCTTTTTAGAATAAATTTCATCCACAGGTCTTCATAAAAATCTAGAAAATCGCAGGAGAAGAGAGCTTTTAAAGCAAAATTTCATCCTCAGAGAGATTTGTACGTGAAACAAATTCTTCTTACTGTTTACTTAAACAAATGCATTTACCTCTCAAAGTGTCCTCACGGCTTGGTGCATCAATCAATTTCTTACAGTTATAGAAATCACTGTCATCTACACCTTAATGTGTTTTAAGCATTTGACTCTTATTGACAGAAGAAAAACAAGAAAGGACGAAGAGTTGTGACCAGAGAAATTGACTTCGATGATGGCAATGAGGGATTGACTTCACCTACTGACGAACTGCTTACGGGCCCGTCTACCTCAACTGCTAGTGAGTGTCACAACAGATGATTAAAAGAAATACAAACAAACAAAAATAGTTACAAGCTAGGGCACTTAAATTTGTGACTAACATGTAACCTCTCCCTGTCATATCCATACGTTTCCTAGCAAATGGCTAATGAGAATACTCAAACTCACTATCAAGAGGAAGTTTTTGTCTTGATCTTACACCAAATTCTCGTAACTAATTTACAACGAATTGTGTAGCAGCAAGAGGAGAGAATTAACAATCAGATCTTGGGAGTTAAAGGGTTAAGAAGGTCAGTTAAATTGATAACGCGCTATGTTTTTTATTTCCCATGGATACAGCGCCTATTGATCAAGCTCTTGAACATGCCGATGATGTGGAAAACCTTAAGAAATTGAGGCAGCAAGGTGGAGAAGGTGCCAGCCACAAGCTTTTTGTTATTGTTCCCCTGATTCTAAGTCTTGCTTTAAATAGTTTTCTAAGTTTTCACAACGGTTGAAATTTTGACAATGCACTCCAAATCACCTTTTGGCAATGGTGATGCTTTTTCATGTATGCAACTCTGCATTTAATGATACGGTCAGATTTGTAAACACAATGTTCTTTATGTAAATACTACACGTAGCCTCCATTTGGTGTCAAAATATGCTCAGATATTTGTCCGCAGACATTATTTGTTCCGAGAGGCAAAGCTCGAGGAAAATTGTGAGCTTCAAGAAAGAGCAATAAAACACTCTCCCATCTGAATCAAGCTTTGTCAGAAGCTTTCCACTTGATAAACTCTGATATAGTTGATAAGAATTCACTCGCCCGAAAGTGCGCTTTTTCTTTTTGCACACAATCGCAAATTGGAATTAATCGAGAGCCCTTGAATGGCCTCCATGTCTCGAAAATCAACTCGAGTCTCGGTCCTTTATTTGCGAGGGTCGAGTTTTGTAGGACTGTAAACTTTCTTGTAGATAGAAGTCCAATTTTCAAATTGGAATTAATCGAGAGCCCTTGGAAGGCCTCTATGTCTCGAAAATCAACTCGAGTCTCGGTCCTTTATTTGCGAGAGTCGAGTTTTGTAGGACTTTAAACTTACTTTCAGATAAATTTATTGTTATCATTCCTTATCAGGATGGTTACCAGCAATTGACCAGGTAGTTCATGCACAAGAGCAGGAAGAAATAGCCCCTGCTAGTGTGCACGTGTCTGCTGAATCTTTGTTAGATCATGGTAAGTGGACCTCCTCCAGTAACACGACTGCTACGAATTCGTTAGTCGCTGACTAAGAATTAGAATCTTAAAACTTTATTAGCAATTTTAAGGAATAGGCATTTCGTTTTCAGTCCCTGTAAAGTCCTTGAAAACTTGCCTGAAAAACTTGTCTGAAAATGTTGCACATTTCTGCCTTCCTTCAGAAGTAAAATTTGAATTATATTATTTGTGAAAGTTCTTGAAAATTCCTTTCAAAGCTAAAATATCGGAATTTTGAGGAAATTGTGTGTCATGTTTCTTGTAATTACAGATACAAAGTATAGCCGCAGATAATAATTTTTTTGTTATATTAAAGTGAATTTACTCTTTCTTCTCTTACATTGTAAATGAAAGCTATTCTAACCATGGAAATTGTCATTTCAGGTTTTACGAATCATTCAGATTCATGTATCCTGCATTGTTTAACTTTCGTTATTTTTTTGTTTGTTTTTCAGCATCAAATGTCATTCGCAAAGAGTCCATTCAGAGTTTTACGGATAATACAATAGAGATACACAGTCCTTCAGGCACTTTCAGTATTCTCTCTGATGAAGGTAAGCGTCAAAGTTTTTTTAAAGTAGATATTTCTGTAAATATTTGTATTTTTAAGGGGATTTTCTAGGCAACACGTAGCCATTAAGCCTACCTATGAGACTGAAAAGTTCAATGTGCATTTAAAACAAAGGAAACTCCTTAAGCGGAGGAAAACCGAGAGTGATCAAGTCGTGATTGATCTTAGTCATGAATCTGATCGATCGAGAGGGTGGCGCGAGTTTCCTAGACCAATCATGTTGCACAGTGAAGTAAAACCAGTTCAATCCCATATTGCCTTTGATATTCAATTGAAAGTGGAAAAATGGTAACTGAAGGATAAGCGGGTCTAACATCACTAGGTTGATAAGCATCCTGCAGCGTTGAGAGCTTCGTATTAATAAATACAGTAAGAAAGATGGAAAATTAAAGTTTTCTGTTTTTGGTGGTTTTCAGATATCACAGATGGGCATCATTATGTTGTGACAGCAATGTCTACTTTGGATGAGGCTGAAGGCAATGCTGAACATCTGTTTCTGACGGTCAGGGATGACTTTATCATGGAAAAGAACTTTGCTGGAAAGGTAAGTGTCCAGAAGCACTGAAAACAGACGGTAGCAACAGCAAATGATTATGATGATCATGTGTAAATTTTACCAATGAGCAGTCGACCTAGAAGCTGTTAGTTTTTATCACACTTGGCAGTAATGTCGCAATCTGATTGGCCAATTTGCATTTGTCGATGAGAGTGCAGACAATGCTGCTCGCGTCAACTTGCCATTTGTGATTTTGGTTGTGATTTGATGTGGACTCACGAGGCGCAGCAAAGTGAGTCCACAACATTTTGATTAAAACTAAAGACCACGCTAAACCACTGTCGATTTGTTGAATTTCCATTTGAAACGCCATGATCCAATCTCAGAACATGATAAGAACACAGTGAGACTACGATAAATTATGAATGGATGAAGCAAATTATGAGGGAACAATTTTTTCAATTTATATGTTTTAAGGAATATTTCAAAGCCCGCAAAGTCATACTAATTAGAGGTACGATTTAGGTAAATGTTATGCTTGTTGGTATCCGTGATTCCTGTTGAATGGTAAATCTTTGCTTTCTGTGCGATACGGAGAGCTCAATAACTGGTTTAAAGGTACTGCATAGTACATCAGAGCTTATTCAGAACTTGCTGTGTTGTTTTTTACGTGGGGGCAGGGTTGGGGCTTCTTGTACCAGGACCAGGTATGAAAGATTATAAAGTGACCCTTGAATTGTTATTTTTAGGTCATTTCCCGGTTGGAAACAAGTTTGTTAAGGGATGTAAACATGGTTAGGACGGAAGATAATCATTCAGTTATACATCTGAGGTTCGACTACATGAGTCGTGAGAGACAAAGGCGGGACTACGTAATGGAGGACTACGAAACTGCTGTGGTAAAGATTCTGGATTTGACTCGAGAGCAATTTTCGATTAAGCAACTGAGTATTCTATTGTGGGTTATTTTTACTTTAGTGACAGTTCTTCTCTACCACTCAAATGATACATTAAAAGCAGCCCTACCTTGTCGTGGCCACACGCACTTTCTCATCTGTTTCCTGTATTACCTTTGAATTTGACAAATCAGTGCAACTGGATTTTTTCCTAGTGTTTGATATAGGACACGCGACTGAAAAGCACCTACAACTCTTTCTCTTCATGAAAAACAATTCATGGCAACAAACCAGACTGACTGGTGTAAATGTAGTGAAGGGTAGAAGATCTCGAAAGGAGATACCTGAAAGTGGAAAGCATCATACTTGTGATTTTTTAAAATAGGATTCAAGTATTTGAGTCTTCTCTACAACATGTCTCTAATATTTAGTCATTCCTTTACCACAGCAACTAGCAGAAATCCTGGAACCTTTTGTTACAGCAAAAAGAGAAATGAAAAAAGTTGCTCTTGAACGTCTACAGGTAAAGGAAGACAATAGTGGTGATGTGCTCTGTTAAATCTCGCCTCTGAGTAAACGTTGTTGTGTCTTGCGATATTGAAGAAGCCTTAAAAATTTAGGCTTAGACTTGAGTCTGAACCCAAGTCTCTTAGATACTTCGTAGGCGCCATCACCTGCAATTTCCTTTATTGCAGTTCAATTATGAGAATCATTCCTTCCTTTGTAATTATCCATAGGACTGACTGTAGAAAATATGTACTCTTTCGTTTATATGTGAGATAGGTTCTAGGTTGTTCTAGCATAGATAAGATTGGAACTTTTTCCAAACGACCAACTTGAAAAATGTAGCTGAATTTTTCTCGATGCACAAACCATCAATTATCTCCTCTAAGTTACTTTAATTAATACATTAGTAATATTTCTAATGTATTTAGGATTTATGTATATTTTTCTATAAATTTCAGTGCCTGAAGTGTTCGGCAGAGTTCACAAAACCAGTCGCTCTCGATGATGCATTCTGCCCTGACTGTGGCAGCTCTCTCACTGTTCAAGTATCTTCACCTGTAATTCCGGTCAAACCGGTTTTCACTCTCGATCATGTGACTGGACAGGTAATAGGAAAGCACATGGAAGCGTCTAAACTGAACGTCAGTTCTATCAAGACGCTGAATGGTGACATGTCTGTTACACCTCTCCAACAGTTATCATCGTCTTCTTCCTCATCGTCTTACGTTGAAGCTACAGAGGAAATTCAAAAGGTAGCGAAAACAGGCCGGAAGATTACATCAGCAGAGGATAAAGGGTATGTTTATATGCAGGTTCACTTACGAAAGTTATGTTTAAGACGACTTGCCATGGTACTGTTACAAAAACTTTCTGCAGGGAACCTACTACAGAAATGAGAAAAATGTGATTATTATTATTATTATTATTAATATAATGATGATGGTTAATGCTATTATCACTTTTACAGAAATCTTTATCACTTTCGCTGAATAAACATGTTGCTACCTGGGGAAGAACTTTCACTATTTCACATGGGCAAAGTCAAAAGCTATGAAATAAGGAAAAATTACATCCAGTTGGAGAGCTGTTTTTTGTAAGGCCGAGACTATGACAAAGTTGTTCGGCAAGGTAGCGATAGGATAAAATCAAGCGGCACTGTGACCGCTTGGATAATCTTTTGCACAATTTTATGGTAACTTTCATCATTCCTCAGCTAGTTGGCGTGTTTTTAAAATTCCAGCCTGTACACTTCTCTGAAACTGACTGTAAAAGGTGGATTATGAAATGCACTGTGTCAAGTTGTAGTCGTCAAATACCTTTCAAGTTGATTTTTCTTGGTTATAGTTTAGTTTCATTGCGTGAATTAATGTATTTATGGGTTAAAAAATTTTCAATGAGTGACAGGCAATCGAAAACTCAAATAACACTCACCTCCCAACAGGAACACTAAGTTATTGGGAAGCAGATTTTGATATGCAAATATTGTTCATATCATAGGTATTCAACAAATGGAATTGGAGCTGCAAAACACCCCGATGTTATTCCAAAGTCAACAGAGTCTTTGGATCAGTCTCCAACGGTACCAGACTTGTGCACCAACACTTCTGAAAAAAATTTAAGTGAAAATGGCAAGGATTCGTCTTCAGAAAACGAAAAAGTTCTGAAAAAATATGTAGTCAAGGACTCTGGAAAGTTCAAAGTGAACGAGAGTGGAAAATATACGGTAAAGGACAGAAGTTCGCCTCAAATAAGAACGAGTGCATTAACTAGCTCATTAAAAGAGTCGAGTAAATCTTATCAGCCTCCGCCCACTGATATGTCATCAACCCAGGTCGGTAGAAATGGTGAAAATTTTGGAGCTCAAAATTTAAATGGTATATCAGGGATTAGAAGTAAACAAGTTGACGAAGTGATTGACAACCGTCCATCAACACCACTCGAATCGAAGTGTGAGGATTTTCATCAGGATGATGAGTTTATGAGCAAGTCGCTGCCTGCTGATACCGTGAATATGCTACAAAAACGCCCACCAAAAACTGCAACGCGAAAAATTTCAGAACAATACCTAAGCAGAAGGTCTCCTGTCCAAAGTAAACTTGGTCGAAGTGCAAATACCGACAGAGGGCCGACCAAATCGACGGAAGGCTTTCCTAAACAAACGAAACTGTCTTCGAGTTTACCGAGAACGCCCACGCCAAAAGTGTTTTTTAATAACTTAATAAATCGTTTAAAGCCAGGAAATAGCCCAAGCAGTTCGCTGGATTCACGGAGCAGTTCGAGTGGTTCAAGTTCCCGACCGACGACTCCAAGTAGTAATTTTATCGAGCCTAATGCGACTCTGACCTTTCGTCTAACTGCGGATGAATTTTCAAGCTGCGATCACAAGTTGAAGTTGTATTTCGAGGTGTCGCTGTTTCGGTGGGGCAGCAGCGAGAAGTTCTGCTGTTTGTTGAAAGTAAGATCTTGCGTTTTGCTCTCTGTGAGTCTTAGGACGAAATTGTTTTTGGAAGATATCTAAGGTCTTTATTATTGCGCATTCTGTGGCCTGAGAAGAATGTTGCATTTTACTCTGTTGTCGACCTGTCATATGTTTCTGTATCTCTTTGTAATCGAGTGTACTTCTTGATTTCAGGCCCCAGTTGTTATTTATGGCGAGACTGAAGAAACTCCTGCCGTTATGATTACATCCAGTGTCATGTTCTACCTTTGTAGTTTTTCCGTGAGAGGAAGGTACTGTGTTTACCAAGTGCTTAGAGCTGCTAAAACCACGTGTAGTTTGCCTTTTCCCATTAACCCTTTAACTCCTAAGATCTGATGTTAATTCTCCCCCCCCCCTCCCCCCCAAGCTGCTACACGTTTCCTTGTAAATTAGCTAGGTGAATTTGGTGCTAGATCAAGATGAAAACTTCTTCTTGATAAATTTGAGTATTCTCATAGACTGTTTCCCGGCTAACGCATGGATGATATAGGGACTACTTGCATGCTAATGACTTCTGAGGGTGAAGAGGTTAAGACGACACGCAACTGTGGACAAGTTCAAACAACAGAAGGAGAATCCCGTATTGCTGCACGTATACGAGTACCCTGCCCCCTCTAATAAAAAAAAGAACATGGGGATATTACTTACAAAGATACGAAAAAAAGTCAAACAAAACAACCGAGCATACAAACAACAAATCCTGGTTGTTGAAGTGTTTGTATGTGGGGCGGCGTGTAGGTGGTTCTGCTTCTGAAATTTCAGGTTGAGGTCTTTGCCGGGTCGTTACATTGTGGTGTATTCTTGGGAAAGCCACTCTACTCTCGCTTCGTTTCTTTTCATTGGGAGCCACTCGATGCTAACATTCTTCGTATTATCTTTTAGCGGGACACCCGACGAGTGTCTCACACCACTGGTATCTCATCCTCTAGATAGTTTGCACTTCATTGACAGAGGACTCGGAAGTCAGGTAAATATCAATTCATGTTCAACCGCTGTGAGTGTCCTTTGGTGTCATAAGTAGCGGAACAGCCAAACCTGTATCGCTTCGCCTTCCCCCGCGTGTTTCAGCGCAGAACTTAACAAAATCTCGGAGTAAAATATCTGTCATGTTTCCCTTTCACCAATTTTCTTCATTAGGATCGCGCTTGTAGACATTATTTGTTGTAGCACTTTCTCTGTACAACTGCCCACTTACAAAGAGGTTATAGACACTTAAGATATTTTTGACAATGCAAAGACTGTGCAAGGAACACTTTGGTAAATTTGAGTCTCGATCTGTATTTGGCTTGCTGTAAGATGAGCCCCCCTCCGACAACAAAGACTTGTCTCAAAACGTTCGCCGCCTTTCGTCACACAGCGCCTTGAGCCGCCCTCTGTCTTTGAATACCGATTGCATGACGTGACGAGACCGAACAATGGCTGCAAAGAAGACTCAACAGTCTCATATCTTTTCTGTAGAATTTGAAAAAGCTGACTTTTTCCGCAAATTTTCTGTAGAATATTACGTGAGTGTCTTGATACTGAAAAACGACAACTTATTCAATTTTTGTCTTCAGAGTTTTCGTCTTGAATTCTCCGTTCAAGGCGGTTGTTATGACTTTCTGGTCCGTGACAAAGATCGTTGTGAAAAGTTCCTAAAAGTGTTTACAAGTAAGTTATCTTTTTTTAAGCTATGAAATAGCGAAATCCAGTATTTACGACAATGTCGACGATAAAAATGTAGTCTTAGTAACCCTGCTACCTCAATTAACTCATTCGTCCTAGTACGACTTCCTGCTGTGCATTGCTGTCCTATTTAGTTAAGAGGATTTCGTTTTGTGACAAGTCAACACTTCACAGCTGATAACTCTGTGTAATCTGGATACTGTATTGATTTGATTTTCTACTTCGTTTTCCTTTCAGATGTTGTGCAACAAGCCAAGATGAAGGTGGGCTCTAGACCTGTTGTCGTTTCCCCGCCTCATCCTCAAACGCTGGCACACATCAGGTAAGCTGATTTAGTATATGACATTTCTTTTATGTTATGGGCATTTAATTAGGCAAAGAAGTTCTTCCTTCGCCGAATGCCTTTGACTACTGTATAGATAAACTTCCTCGTGCTCGTTTCAATTTAAAGTCTTTTTGCCATCCAACTCGTTTGTAACCTGTTTACCGCGTTTGATACTGTAAACAAGTCATCCGCGCTTGTTTCTGGCTACATGCGTCTCAGCGCTTGTCACTGATGAAATGTTTTTCCGCGTTAGTCTCTAGTTACAAGATTTCCCGCTAATCGCTGATTACATGTTTTCCGCCCTTTTCGCTGGTTACATGTTTCCTGCGCTTTTCGCTGGTTACACGTTTCCCGCGCTTGTCGTTGGTTACATGTTTCCCGCGCTTGTCGTTGGTTACATGTTTCCCGCGCTTGTCGTTGGTTACATGTTTCCCGCGCTTGTCGCTGGTGACATGTTTCCCTCGCTTGTTACTGCCTACAAGTGTCCTCTGCTTGTCGCTAGTTACTTGTTTTTGCAATTTTTTTTCCACCTATGATGAAATCAGTCTTTTTATGGCTCGGGTCTTTTAAATCTGCAGAATCCCAGAACTAAACATGTATTGATAATTTCTCCCAGGTCTCAAGTCTTTAAGATAAGACCGGAAGATCCAATTTTAATGGTAAGATTTTGTACCGAATTAACACTTCAGGATAAGTAAGTGGATTTGTATGTGGTGGGGGTGGGGAGGGAGGGGTTCAAGGACCTTCAGTCAAGTAGTTTTGTATCCAGAATGAGCACATAGTCGGTTATAGTCTCTCTGTGGTAGGTTTCTTGTTATTAGTCTGAGGAACGTTTTGCACTTTTCGTAGGGAGAGCGACTACATCAGCAGGCTGTCCATTTCGCTGATCCCCCGCTGGTAAAAGACCGCAAGGTTAGTGAAACGTTCTGTTCATTGTTAAAAACATATCCAGCTTTGGTTTAGTCTTAGGGTGGTTTTGCGGAATAATTTTTATTTACTACTTAGCTTGAACTTCTACTTTCTTCCCCACAGAGTTTGTTGATACGTAGTTATTCAAGCTGTTTTGTGGGCAGAGAGTTTGTGGACTGGTTGATTCAAGTAAAAGAAGTAGAAACCAGAGACGAGGTTAGTATGATCATTCAGTAAAGATTACTAATTAAGAGAAGATTCCGTGATAAACTGCTATGGAAAGATCTCTCTCCTTAACGAAGCACTTTGTGAGCAAGCGTTATTAATTTTGCAGGGAGTAGGAATCGGTCAGCTACTCTTGGATGTTGGAGCACTGGAGCATGTGTCTAAAGAGCAAGTGTTTGAGGACAAGGATCAGTATTACAGGTTTAACACAGAGGTAAGCTATTTTAATCTGTAACATGAAGAACAGGTTTCTGTGGCATGACTTCACCAAGTCGATTCCTGTAACAAGCCTCAATACCAGAATATGATTCTACGAGGAAATTTGAGATTTCTTTGTAGCACTCGATCAAATTTATTATGCGTTAGGGATAGGGTTAGGGTCATGGTATTGTGTTGTGCTGTGTTCTAAGGGAAAAGCGTCTTACTTTCTCGCACCTTTCAACAGAAAAGAGAATTACATATTATCGAAAACTACCACAGCAGAATCTTCATTCCGACATAACCCCCTACGTCAAAAAAAGTAAGCAGTACTTTTATCGTTTCTGGCCGAGAAAACTAATACCTCCCTCCCCCTCCGTAGTATTCAATTCAGCCCTCAATTAACAATGATTTTTGTTTCTTCTCTTACTCAGAGAAATGATTTGGCGGGTGATTCCTTCGCAAGCGAAAGTATCCTTGACATAGACACAAACATCGTGTTGTTTTTAATGGCTTATCGCTGCTCAAATACGGAGAGACCTGGTAAGAGACCTATGGCAATGTCGTTGAACCTAAATTTGTCATCGTTGTTGAACGATCCTAGCAGAAATTAGTCAGGGTTAATCAGTGAGTTTCCTTAAACCTGTGTCACAACGCCTATTGGTACACTTGTTGGGAAAATAATGTGAACGTGAACTCTCGTCCTATAAAATGCTGCTTTACGAAATCCATCCATCGCACAGCCATAAACAAATTTTACCTTTTGGAAAAAGATTAACAAACTGACTTTCTAGATGTTTTTTTTCTTCTTTAATCTATTTTTCCGGTAAGTTAAGTAGTTAACCGCAATTGTCATGCTCGACCCATTTCCATAGCTCGCTGGGCCCAACTTATAAACTGGTGGCTATTCCGTTGCAAAGCAAGGGAACGAAAAACTACCTGTGGCGAGATTTTCGACTCAATCGCGCTTCCCTTTAATTTCCAAAGACCCCTTTCTGCTGGTCAGTGTATTAGATAAGTTATGTATTAACTTGTCTCCACCAGTTGAGGTCCGTACACGTTCATTAGGGTTCACCTTGTGTTCTCTTCCATTGATCAAACATTTACCTTCCTGTTTTCTCTAGATTCCAGTTTGAATGCTGTCAGCGTGATTGCATCGCGGTCTCATATAGCCCTTGTCAAACAGAATCCTCAGTGGCCCGTTCCACGGTACACAGCGCTGTCCCAACCGCTCAAGGACCCAGCGTTTGTGTGCTTGGCCCGACACAAAATCACCGATGTTACTAGCTTGGTATGTAATATTTTTAAAAGTGTTAGTTTTCTCAGTCCCAGGCGATATTGAATATTAATTGGGTATAGGGGTGATAGAGTAAAGAAGGAGGTCAAGTTTTATCCTTTACCTTGATTGCGGCAAATTACAAACAGACTTTCACTCTGAAAAAAATATTGAATTATCTGGAGACAGTTATTTTCTATGCCGGAACTATCTTGAATGTGAAGTGGGGCAACGAAATAAACCAGCTGTACTTGATCGTTTTATAATGCACTTGACGTTTGCTGTTTTCATAGGATTTTTTTGAAGATGATTCATGCTTTATGGGGATCAGTATAACAGACGAGGTAAGGTTTTACCGGTATCACCTCCTCTGTCAATGAATACTACGCCCTTCCGCAGAGAAGGTCAAGTAGTGATGATCTCAAATGATAGTACCATGATAAAACACCGACTTATCTCCGACTTTCCTCGTGACGATTTGTAGCAACTTTAGGGATGAAGAAGTTGGCAATTGTGGTGATGTAAAGCTTAAATTTTTTGTACAGAACGTCCCCGTGGGGAACGGCGAGAGTCAGTGGATTTTGAAGACAGAAACAATCACCACCCTCTCCTCCCTAGTAAAAGTGATCAAGGAACCGTGGGAGGCTCAGTTTGGTGTGGAGTTGCAAAAGAATCTTTATCCTTCTGTGATGGTGAGGCCTTGAAGAAATATTCTTTAATTGTCATGAATGGGGGAGGGGGTGGGGCTGGGTAGTAACTGAGGTTGTGTCAAAGAGCTGCGTTTCGATAGTATAAGTCATTCTTTTACTTGTCTGTTTACCAAAATGACGCTTTTTGCAGTATGCATGACGCGTGTCACATATAAACTTTGTGACGGCCCTTATCACCACAGAGGTTTCTGTGGCTCATTGATAAAGCATGGAAGCGCTGAATTCGGAGGTCTGGAGCTCGATTTCTCGATTTCTCTAATCCACGCCCTCCCTCTCTTTATGCAAAGTATTAGTTCGGCAAGATAGAAAAACACAGGAGAGGTAATAATGAACCAAAGAGGCTAAGGATAGCTGTGGATGGTGGGAGTTATGACTGATGATAAATGACGTACTTGATTCATTCAGGCTAAATCTGCTAAGATGGACAAACAATGAGTGCCTTTAATACACGTGCGTGTTTGTGAATTTAAATATTTTTTCCCCTTTTTTTTTCGTTTGCAGGACCACAAAATGTAGACGAAGTGGACTGACATATTCTTTACTAAAATTATTCACAGAGAATCGAAAAGTTACAAGTCGCATGCGCAATAGTACTCTCAACAACGTTCTGTTCGATTTGCTATCCTTGATAATACGCTTTCGACATGGAGCAATCCCTTAGTGTAGAGAAACTAAAGAGCACAAGATTTGTCTCAAAGTTTGCGGTGTAGTTTAGGAAATAATTCACCTAAGATAGCAGCCTCTATTCTTCTTTTTGAAAGCAACAGAATGACGCGAGTTATGGCGTTATCTCTCGAGCGAGCAATCACAGCGAATTAAGGGTTAACTTCCATGGCAACCGTTTTACCATGGCAACGCATTAGTTTCGTATGCAGTCGACCCAGGACAAGTGTTGATTGGGTTTCGAATAACGCGGCCCTTGGCAGTCATACAGATCTCCTATTATTCACATTAATTAAACAAATTCACTTTAACCAAATTCGAACAACACGAAGTGAAGCACAGAAACTCCTTTTGATATAAATAGTAATTTATTTCAATGAAAGCTTAAAATTATTTTAATCCCTCTATTACTGATGCGGGAGTTTCGAACACGACAGCGTTCGTTATAAAAATGCCACAATTTTGCTTCACAGAATTAAGAAAGATTATTTATTTCAAAAGCTTAATTTCGTTTTGTCTCCTTTCTGCGGAGTCGTAACCATAATTGATCACATGGTCAATGAATAACAAAACCCAAAACAAATTAACTTCAAACTTAATATATAATTAAAACCTTCGTTTTGGATCGAGAATGATAAAGCAAGAAATAAACTTTATTCCATTAAGATGAGGGAAACGTGTCTTGTTATCAATCTAATCTAAACAAATTTTATTGGACAATGAAAGCAGCGTCAAACGCAATGCATGAAGGGAAGATTCAGGCAAGGCGCTTGTAAAGGTGTTACCACTTGTGACCCCAACTTCTACGCTTTTCCCAGTTCTCCGCGATTGTTGCTTACCATACACACGTTTACTTTTTTGATTGTAATATGCTTTTATTAATGGTATGTCACGTCAAGGCGTAGGATTCATCCGACACGTCCCTTAGTCATAAATAGAAAGTGCCATTGCGGTTGACAAACTTTACTTTTGAGTTTAAAGCTAATCTCTAAGAATGTCGACGAACTTCAACAAAACCACAAATGGAACGCAGACAACATCGTGCTTCGATCCTACAGCAAGAAGAATCGGATACACTGTTACTTACAGCCTGATCTCTGTAGTTTCAGTGATTGCAAATTTATTGATTGCAATTATTTTTTACAAGACGAAAACTTTGAGGAAATCCATCAACTTTTTCATTGTCAATATGGCCATATCCGATATTCTTTTGCCGATTTTTCTTATAACGCCGTATTTAACATCGTTATACACTGAGGACCCGTGGCTGATCAGTGGTCCTGTTGGCGTGGTACTGTGTAAGCTGGTAATGTTCTTGCCTCACGTTTCTGTTTCTGTGTCTACCGAGAGCCTGGTTCTAATTGCAATGGACCGTTTTGTAGCTGTAGTATTTCCCCTCCGTTCTCCTCTCATCAGTTCAAGGCTGTGCCCGTTCCTCATCCTCGTAACTTGGATCGTTGCAATGGCCGTTTCGTTTCCATATCTCTTGACAATGAAACTTGTTGAGTATCCGGATGGCTTGGCGTGTGAGCGAAAGTGGATTGAAGCTTTTGGCGATAGCTCATCGTTAAAACTTTATAACGTAACGGTTTTCACTGTGTCGTTTTATGTTCCATTCGTATTGATTGCAATACTTTATATAATTATTTGCCTAAGGCTCAAGCTCCAGAAGAAACCAGGCGAGCCATCAATCAACATTGAGCGCCAACGAGCGAGAAGGGAGCGAAACGTATTAAAGATGTCCGTAGCTATCGTGTTTGGGTTTGCGCTGTGCTGGTTTCCCTACACGATTAACTGGTTACTACCGACGCATTTCAGACCCGAAAATGCATCCTGTGGCTTCGAATACTTTACCGCCATTGCCTTTCTTTTGGCTCATTCAAACTGTGCTATAAACCCTTGCATTTGTTTCATTTTTAGCGTTAATTACCGGCAAGGTTTCAAGAATCTGACGCGAGGCTCTCTTGTCTTTAATAATGATGTCAATACTTCTGAAAGTGTTGTATTCCAGCGACGGCGGGCAAGTGAATCGAAGACCGATTGTTTAGTCTCAGATGCACATGTAGTGCAGATAAACTGCATTGACTGACCAACTTTGAAAATCGAAGGGGAGCGAAATTTTTAGTCGGCCTTTGAAGATGAAAACAGGGGAACCACCCATTAAAGCATGTAGCAAGAAGCGGTCAAGTTTCAAATCTCTTTATTTGAACATGTTATCGAAATTAAAAAGGATTATTAATGGGCATTATACCTTTTTTTTTTTCAAGGGCATTGAGAAAAGCTTTATGCAATTACAAGAATGTTAATTTCAGAGAAATTGATTCTGACGTAACCAAAGTGTGAAGGAACTGAAAGAAATTTCAAATTTAAGTCGTCCTCTATTATGCTCTATGAAAACCTGGGTGCCACCTGAAGCCTTTAATAAGAAGCGGTTAACTTTTGTCTCTCAGCTCTTTATTTGAACATGATTAAAAAATTTGAATTTTAAAACGTTTACTTTAAACGACGGAAAAGTAATTCGAGTCAACATCGGCACTCTTTTTTATCTTTATCTTTTTGTCCCACTAGAGGCGTGGGGAAATTGTCATACAATAACAAGGGAGCGAATTTCTAAATCATGATATAATTTCACAAAATCTGACGTTTCAGGCGTTTCTGCCTTTGTTGGATCCTTACATACGAAAGTTTGAAGGGAAGAGAAATTTTAAGTCACCCCTCATTATACTTTGAAAATGAAACCCGGGTACCAGCTGGAGCCTGTAATAAAAAAAGCCATGAAGTTTTTTCTCTCTTTATTTGAACATCGCATCGAACTTTCAATTTTCAAAAAAAAAGAAAAGATTAAAAGACGAAAGCTATTAATTCAAGTCAATATCGGCATTCATTCTATTTTATCTTTTTTTTAAATTTCTTTTTCCACCAGAATCATTTGGGAAATTTTCATACAATTACACGAGAGCGAATTTCTGACACAGATGACTTTATTTCACAGATCTGACATTTTCTCGATTCTGACGGCCAAAGTGTAAAGGAAAAAGAAATTTTTAAAATTCGTCTCCCATTATGCTCTATGAAAACTTTGGGTGTCATCTGAAGCCTGTAATAAGAAGCGATTAAGTTTCGTCTGTCTTTATTTGAACATGTTCATATCTACGAATACAATAAATCCTCGCAGCTATGAACGCTACTGAACTAGTAGTTGAAATAAGACCTGAAAAAAATTCAGGCCCGTACAGGATTTGAACCCATGACCTCTACGATATCGGTGCAGCGCTCTACTAACTGCGCTAACAAGCCAACCGGGAACTAGTTATTACATTGGATCTAAATAAACCATCGCATCACAGAGGTCATGGGTTCAAATCCCGTACGGGCCTGAAAATTTTTCTTCCGGTCTTATTTCAACTACTAGTTCAGTAGCGTTCATAGCTGCGAGGATCTCTTATATTCGTTTATTCACCGCAGTGCACATATATGATTTTCATTTATCTACAGTCATTATGTTCATATCTTTTCGTCTGTCTTTATTTAATTTGAATATGTTTATATCATGTATGAAATCTTAATCAGAATTATAGGTGCGGGGGGGATAAAGTGTAAAAGAATCCGTGATCTCTTTCATATCATTAACTAATCATGATTGACAATCGACAATCTTGTACTAAATAAGTGAGTCATGGAACATTGGCAGCCCTTTCTCTCATTTCAATTAAGAAATACAAAATGAAACTTTATGGAAACTACGTCCGAGGAAACCTCTGCGTGCCATCTTTTATGCGCCTGCCTCCGCGCCTGTCTTTGCTGACTGTAAGCCTCCGACAGGCGAGATTCATGAATAAATTGAGGGGGAGGGAAGACAAGGAAACTTGATATATTGAATGTTACTAATCGAAATAAAGAAAAGAGATCTGACAGACGTCAACAAGCGGACTCTATTTGAACAGAATTGTTTAATCAGTAGCAAGAGAATATTAAATGTTTATATTCTGTTGTCAGTCGCTTTCCTCTTTCAGATATTTTTCCACCCACAATATACGACTGAGAGAATCAACTATTTGATAATTGCGTCAGGATGTCGCCAGCATATCGCGTCCTATTTTTGAAACTCCATGTAAGTGTTTGCTAATGTTTTACCAGCATGAGCACCTGTTTGAACAAACGAGGCCAAATTAAAAACTTTCTCACATTGTATTCTTACCAGAAGTAAGCAATATATGATGCACAGTAAATGTTTCCTCACGAAACATAGAAAATCTAGAAAATTTGGATTAATACATCTGATATGGTCATATCTACGATAAAGTGATTGATAAAATGATAAGTTTCTCCCTGTGTTCTGTATGGTATTTATAATATAATCCAAATGAAGATGATATTCTATATCCGACGGGAATTGAAACCCTTTCTAATACACATGACTGTAAGATTTTATCAGATACTACTTGATTAGTATATTTTATTCATAGTTGTTTCTAATGCAATGTTGACAGGATTCTTTAATGCATATCAACGGTTCACCCCAAGGAAAAAAATGTTTTTACGGCAACAGATTCGATTCTAAACCCCTTTTTGCACTTTGAAACGAAAAATATTCACACAACCGTGAACAAGATTAGTATTATTTTTTAATTTTACTTAAGATATTTTGGAGGATTAGAGGAAAAATGATATCTTCGTTGCCTTAAATCGACCGCATACGCTCATTAACCTTCCGTGCTTCGGCGAGGCCATCTATTCAAAATGTAACCATCGCTGAGCAACAAAATTCATTCCCCGCCGTGAAGCCAAAGTACAGGTAATATGACTATCAAAGAAGAACAAAAGGACGAAAGAGTAAAAAAAAAAAAAATATCGGTTTCGATGAACCGTATCCCTGAATAGGTTTTAAGAAAAGGATAATTTCTCCTTTCTTTAACCAATCTTTGGCTCTGAGCAGGTCTCGGGGGGCTAACTAGAGTCTCAATAAACAAAACAAAGCTGATTACTAACAAATAGCTTTCATTTACTATCTTTAGCCCAACTTCTTTTACTGAGCTGGATCTGGTTTCCATGAGAAACAGATCCAAAAGATTTTTCCCCATGGTAAAAACTCCTTCCTTACTCGCTTATTAATTTTTTCCCAAAAAAGTCACTTCAGACCGCACGACTTTTAGGGAAATTTGCATGACGGCTTAAACCGTTATTTAGAATAATTATGGCTTAATGATCATGTTATACACATAATTCTAGTTACATATTTGTAAACATGTTTTTGTAGACTGCTGTCGTTGAAATTTTCCCAAGAGGTTAAAGTATCAGATAAAAAATAAGATCGAATTGATCGCATGTAGCCTCCACTTAATTAAGACAAAACAAAGTACGTAACCACAGCTCTTTCATGACCATTGTGTTCGCGAAAACTTAACCCGTCCGCGCCTTGTTATACCCGAAAACATATGATTAAAATCCTCTTCTTTCACAATTAAAAGCAAGTTAACAGATTGTTTGAATGAGTGTGCTTGAAATGGTTTTTAAACGAAGGGATCAAAATATATTGAGAGCAATAGAAAGAATAACATCTGTTTATTCTTTGGCATGAGAAATAAAAAGAGATATCAAAGAATACCTGGGACATTAGGGTTTGACTGAATTAGGAAAAAAATTGATCGAGAATTGAAAGAAATTTTGCGCTATTTAAACTTCATCAATTCCTTCCTTAGCACTCATATCACCGGCCACTTTGTAATTTGCTTTTACCTCGGGGTCTTCATGACATTTGCCACTCAGTAATATTTACACCTTGAATAAATGACCTCACCAGAGCACTTAACATAAGTGCGTTTATGCGGTCGTTGATGGCAACGGAAAACAGTAAAATTAAATTTTTCAGTTTACTGGGTTTTTCTCAAAAGAAACTCTTGGTTTCTCTATAATCCTTTAAAATACTGTGCACTACATCTTGGAACATTTTCCTTCAATAATTATAGGCTGTCATCACACGGAACCAGCTGTCAAACGTTATTCAACAAATAACGCTATTTCAGTATTTGCTTTCCAGTCATTTGCTTAATTTTATTGCCTTTTTAATTCAGATCACGCCTCGCAGGGGAAGAAAATAACAAAATACAAAATAAAGACGGTATATACATTACTGAGTTGGATTTAGTTCTGCATGAGGAACAGATCCAAAAGATTTTTCCCACAGTAAAAACTTCTTTCCTTACTCGCTTATTAACTTTTTTCCTGTCTTTATTTATTTATTTTTTATTTTATAAAAGCTGTTAGCAAAGTTGAATCCGATTCTCTTTCCCTCAGTAACTGGATTTAAGCAGCTCGGTACCTGTGTTCCATTCATCGTTGCGGTCACGTTCACCGACATTCGATATCCTATTTTTGAAACTCCATGTAAGTGTTTGCTAATGTTTTACCAGTATGAGCACCTGTTTAAATTAACGAGGCCAAATTAAAAACTTTCTTACATTGTATTCTTACCAGAAGTAAGCAATATATGATGCACAGTAAATGTTTCCTCACGAAACAAAGTTGGTGATTGAGCGTTCGGAATCTAGAAAATTTGGATTAATACATCTGATATGGTCTAATCTACGATAAAGTGATTGATAAAATGATAAGTTTCTCCCTGTGTTCTGTATGGTATTTATAATATAATCCAAATGAAGATGATATTCTATATCCGACAGGAATTAAAACCCTTTCCAATGCACATGACTGTAAGATTTAATCAGATACTACTTGATTAATATGTTTTATTCATAGTTGTTTCTAATGCAACGTTGACAGGATTCCTTAATGCATATCAACGGTTCACCCCTAGGAAAAAATGTTTTTACGGCAACAGATTTGTTTCTAAACCCTTAAGTGTGGATGTTCTTTACTTTTCATAATGATGTATTTAATTTAGTTTCAGTTCAGTTTACAAACAATTCTTATTATATTCCAAAGCGGCTGCCATGATACATTGCATCTTTATTAGCCCTGGCAACTCACTCAGCAGCCGAGGAGATTGTTAAGACCTTGGCGATAATTTCCACTGAAAATAAAACAGATGCAGGGGTTCATAGCGCTATTTGTTCGACTCAGTAGCAGAGCAACTTGCTCTAATAACTGTTTGAATCCACAGGACATTGTAGCATTGTTTTCATCTGCAAACATACGTACTAATGCAAAAATACTGAATGGAATCCAGCATACAGCGAACCCTAACACAATAGCAATGGAAAGCTTCAGCGCATTTCTCTCCCTTCTCAAGCGCTGAATTTGAGCGTTCATTGAGTGTTCGCCTGGTCCTCTCTGGGACTTCAGTTTCAAAAAAATGGCAAGATATAGAATAAACATCAGAACGAAGGGAATATAAAAAAATGCAATAAAAAGTGCCATAAAGTATTTTGTCACCGACGAGGAATCGTCAAAAATCCATTGCCGCACACACTTGTACTCATGATCATATTCGACCAGCTTGAACGCGACCAGATACGGGATGAATGTAGCCATGGCGATGATCCACGTGGCGAGAATAAAGAAGCGATACAATTTTGAACTGAAGAGCGGGGAACGGAGGGGAAATACCACAGCTACAAATCGATCCACTGCTATCAGCACAAGGCTCTGAATTGACACAGCAGAGGAGAGATCGGCTGAAAAAGGAGCGAGCTTACACAAAACCTCGCCAAGATGGCCTCTAATGGGCCAATCATCGTCATGTATCTCTACTACAGTTTTCGGGATCAAGAATATCGGGAACAGTAGGTCTGACATAGCCATGTTCACAATTAGATAGTTGATGGGTTTTCGCATGGTTTTCGTCTTGGAAATAATTATTCCAATGAAGGAATTTCCAACCACAGAAATAATAAATATTACGCAGTAAGCAATTGTGTGCCCAATCCTCAATGCTGTGGGATTATAGCAGTTCGACGGCTGAGTTGCATTCATTGTTGCGCTCAAGTTCGTGGACATTTCGTAGACGCGTTCTTCAGTCACCGTTAAAGTCAAGTATTATCTTATGGAAGTCACAAACACCTCTATTTGTATTACCGCTTGCTGTGGAAGTGATGTGAAAATTTGAATATTTTATTTTGATGATGCACACTGAAACCAATTATTTTAGGTCTTTATTTGGGTTATTTTTGCATTTTCCAGTTAATAGCTGTTTTTAAAATTGCCGTCGGCAACTATGGTGGAGCCGGAAAGAAGGAGAAATCTAGAAGAAAGTTTCACAGTTTTCTACGTTATCACCCGCTAATTCGTTACCAGTCCACGGGACACTTTTAAGACAAAATAAAAGCGCTTTAGGGCCTGAAAAAACCGAGTTCTAAGTTTTTTGAAATTTTTCTTTTATGGGAATTGGTTTTTACACATAATAAGCTAAATATTTACGCCAAAAAAATTTCGTGTCATGGGCACTTTAACTCTAATTACCTAGAATTCTTTAACTCATTTCGGCAGGTGAAAAAAGAAATTGTAAAAGGGATGTTTGAATTTTTAAATTGTTTGGGTTTGTTGTCATGGATCATGTCTTAAAGTGCCTGTGACGCGAAATTTTTTTTTGCATTTTCCGTTAACCCTTTTCCTCCCAACGTTAATAGTGTTTTTAAATTGAAATAATTTGACTGGCGATTTTTGTCGCTTCGGTGTTTTTATGTGAGTTTGCCTGCTTTTGACGATAAAATGGCGATTTTTTGTGCAGTTTTCGCGCGAAGTTCAGGCAGCTGAAGTAATGGCTTCTGGAAGTGAATTTGTAGTAAATTCGGCTGCAGAGACTTCTCAAAACGTGGATTTAGTGTTCGTAGACGAAGATGAAATGCCATTGACTTCTCTAGCTATAGGCACGGCATATTTAGAGCGAGAGTCTGACGAGGAAATTGACTCAGAATTTTATCAGACTGACTCTGAGGCTGAAGAAAGTGACGAAAATGAAGAATTACAACAAGCAGGTTCTCCCAGGAAGCGGAGACGTTAGCACAGGCGAAAACGATGTTGTGGGCGATCCTGTTTGGGTAGAAGACATCAGGACGCATTCAGACCAAAACCCACGGGGCCTAAAGTTCGAATGGGAGCGGATCAAAAAGACCCAGTGAGTTATTTTTGTCTGTTTTTTAATGATGCCTTGCTTGATCTAGTTGTGACACAAACAAATTTGTATGCCTTGGCACGCAGTGGACAAAAATGAAATAAGAACATTTATTGCCTTGATTTTAGCAATGCAAGGCTCATGAAAGGCTGGACATGGTATCTAAAACTCTTCTATCATTTCTTGGAGGTGTCAGTTTTGAATGCATATCTTGTTTACTGCAAGGGAAAAGATGATGATCAACCAGATCTGAGCATGATGGATTTCCGGATTCTGGTAATCAGAGGTTTACATGGTGGAAGGAGCTACAAGATTACCCCCACAGCTGCTGCACCTCAAATATCAGGATTGAATCTGTCTTTGGGACACTTCCCAGTCAAAGTTGACAAACGGTGTACTTGTAAAGTTCACCTGCAGCAAGTGTTGACTTCATACAAGTGTGGACTGTGTGGAGTCCACATGTGCCCCAGCCCTTGTTTTGAGAAGTACCACACCCTCCAAGACTATTTGTATGATGACCCTGAATATGGAGCAGCAACCCAACTTCTGAAACCTCAGAATCCTGGCAGGCCTTTTGCAAGAGGAAGACCTAGGCAGATGAGGCAGTGAACTCTCCTAGAAGTAGCGGAACATTGACCATTGGTTGTCAAAAACTGTTCACTTATTGCTGTTGTTGTGACACACCATTGCCAACAGCATACTGACATTGTAGCACTGGTATGTCCAACTCCATGCTTATAAGAGATATTATTTGGTGTTTCCTTGTTCAAAAAATTATGTTTTCTGATTGTTTATTCTACAAATGTATGTACCCATAATTCATGGGATTATGGACATGACTGTTTCTTTTGATTAGTTAATCATTAACCTGCAGATATTTGAAAAACTTGGGGAAGGCAGTTATGCTCAGAAAGGTTGTTTGGATCAGTCTGGTAAAAAATAATACCTTATGAGATTTAAGTTGCTGTTAAATCCTCAGTTGATTAATTTTTGAAATGATTTATAGAATTAAAATTTACGATGAAAATTGCCTTACTGTTTGAGGGCCGTAAGAAGCTTTTTTTAGATCAATATAACAAATATTTGTGATTTATCTTAAAGGTCATTTCTTTAGCTTAACAAAAATGACTATTGTTATTATTTGACAGTTTTTTTTGGTTTCAGAGCTGAATTCTTGTGAATGAAGGATTTTTTTAGTGTATTTTTACTGTCATATGTCAACTTTGAGGATAAAGTGAGAAACTTACATAACAAGGGACAGGCATACTTTGTTGGTTCACTGTGTAGAAAATTCTCTAAACTTCAAAATGAGCTATGATATATGAAAATTGACTAAATGTAGCTCAACTTACAACCATTTATTTACGGTGTTGTCTTTTTTGCGAAAATTAATTACCATACCCATGGGAGGAAAAGGGTTAATAGCTGTTTTTAAAGTTAGAAATAATCGACCTTAGCGCCTAGCGAGTTCTCCTTGACCAATTTTATGTGCATTGAAAGTACGATTTGGCGCCTAAAAAGTATCGCAATGAAGCGCGCGGCAAAAACGATCATATTACATAGCTGTGACGTAGAAAACTGTGAAGACACGTCGGCAACTATGGTGGAGCCGGAAGTAGGACAAATCTAGAAGAAAGTTTGACAGTTTTCAACGTTATCACCCGCTAATTCGTTACCAGTCCACGGGACACTTTTAAGACAAAATAAAACCACTGAGAGATTATCACTCTGAAGCATGATGAAGCACTCTTTACTTTTAGTGTTTGGGCTTAGCCTGTTAAAAGCTGCATTCTAGCAAAACTCTTAGTAATGAAAGTCACTTTCAAAACATCAGTATAATCTATCAGGGATCGCAGGGATCGCAGTTTTCCGCCGACAATGAATTCTCATATAAGTTCGTGGTTAAATCGACGTCGTGCATGTGCGTAAAACAAGGATCGCCTTATTTATTCGAGTAAACGCCCTAGGCGCTTAATACATTTTGAGACCTTCAGAGTGAGCGCTTATTCGAGAAGGGCGCTTATTTGATATTTTTCATTTTCAGCAAGTATTTAGTTTATTTCGCTACAAAATGATAGATAATAACAATACGCGAAAATGTACCATAGGCAGTGAATTTCGAGATTGTAAGGAAATATTTAATAGAGGCTCTCGATTGGGTTAACCGTTAGACTCCAACGCCAAAGCTTCTTCTTTAATTTATTACACTTTGCCGCTACAACGTTTACAGTTCCCTTTCTGATTAACTCCAACTCTAAAGCTTCTTATTTAATTAATAACGCGTTACCGCTACAACGTTTACAGTATTCCCTGACCAGTTGAAAATACATACTGGCTGTCTTTTTTCGGGTGCCAAGTCAAAAATTTCAGAAGCAATATAGCGAGGCTCTTCTAAAAGGGATTACGAACAGTTTCAACAAGTCAGAAAGAGATGGCCAGAGTTGTAAAATGTGGAAAGTTTGCTGTCACCAAACAGTAAATCAGTTGATGGATGGGTTTCGCTGCACCAACTACTTCATAAGTGTAGTTATTAGAGAGCTTAAGCATCGACGGCAGACGCGGACGGCAGCCGCAAGTTAAAAGTTCTTATTCCTTACGGTCGATGAATTAGTGTCAAATCGCGCCAGATTTAGTTTTATTCTTTCTCCTGTTGCTGCCCGCGTCTCAAAAATTTCTCTGCTCAAATTCTCTATAAATAGGGATAAAGAAACGGCGGGCATGTTCAGCCACATCAATGCGCGGATAAATCCAAACAGCATGCAGAAGGCTGGGGAGAAAACGATAACTAAGCAGCTTCGCCTGTAGGAAAACAACCGAAGAGATTCTTGAGACCTTGACGATAATTACCACTGAAGATAAAACAGATGCAAGGATTTACAGCACAGTACGAGCGCGCCAGAAGAAAGGCAATAGTTCCAAAGTATTGCATGCCACAAGATGACCATATAGCTATGTTTGATGAATAAAGGAACAGCAAGGCGTAGATGCTGAGTGGCAACCAGCATACGGCGAACACCAGGACAATGGCAACGGACATATTAAGAACATTTCTTTCTTTCTTCAAACGCCGTTCTCTTGCGTTAGCTGATTGCTTCCCTGGAATCTTCTGCGATTTAATTTTTAAGGAAATGACAAAATAAAGTATGGAAATCAAAACCAAAGGGACATATATGGTAACAACGATCAATCCCAGTATGTAGGTTTGCTGCGATAGGGACTCTCCAAATATGTCATTCCGCTGCCACCGACAAAACAGCCCTTCTGAATACTCAAGAACTTTAAAGGCGATCAAATATGGGCAATGGACTGCCATGGCGACGATCCAAATGACGAGAATGAAGTACCGGCACTGCTTTGAACTGATCAGTGGGGAACGGAGAGGAAATACTACAGCTACAAATCGATCCACTGCGATCAACAACAGGCTCTGAATTGACACTAGAGTTGAGACATCTGCAGCGAAGGAACTCAGTTTACACGCCGCATGGCCAAGGGGACCGCCAACCAGCCAGTGGCCGGCCGTGTTTAACTCTACAAAAATTTTAGGAAAGAGGAAAATCGGGTACAACAGATCGGAGAGTGCCATGTTTACTATCAAAATGTTGATTGGTGTTCTCATAGTTTTCGTCCTATAGACAATTATTCCAATGAAGGTATTCGCAGCCAGCGACACAACAAATAGCAGACAGTAGGCGAAGGTTCCTCCAATTCTTCTCGCTGTGGGGTTGAAGCAGCTCGACATGGACTGTGTTCCATTCACCATTGCTGTCACGTTTGCAGACATTTTTCGATACCAAGAGATCAGGTTTTTCTTCAGCCAACAGCCTTGCGGTGGGTACCTAAACTCGACTGGATGAAAACACAGCCTATCCATCTTATATAGATCAAACTTTCACATGTTTAATTAATGAACATACCTAGGAAAATTCTAGAAAATCGACAGTCTTCACCTGAGACCTCTAACTAAGAAAAGTATGGTTGGAATCAGCTGTTGTCCGAAATTAAGCAAACGATATGCTTTTTCAAATATTGTCGGCAAAAGGGACAATTTTCTCAAGTTTATAAGCAGGAGCCCATCTTATATGAGTTTATATAATCATTATCAATATTGTTCCAATGGCTCCAGAAATAGCCCAGCCACAGATGTTTACTGATATAGAATAACGGTTGACAGCTGGTAGCGAAAAGATCTACAATCTTCTTTTCAATTCAGAATTTATTTTTAATTATGTTGCCATCGAAAGTTTAATCCAGCCTCGAACTTACTGATTAGTCTTGTTGCTTAGTAAACTTATTGGAGTATTAAAGAAAATTTTCACGAAGTCGTAACAAAAAGGAAGGGTACAGGACAATATAAGGCCGACTTCTTATGTGCGATAAAAAATGGTATGGCTTCATAAGTCTTCTTTTCAATTCAGAATTTATTTTTAATTATGTTGCCATCGAAAGTTTAATTAGCCTGAGCTTGTTGCTCAGTAGACTGGTTGGAGTTTTAAAGAAAACTTTCAGGAAGTTGTAATAAAAGGGAAGGAAACAGCCGGGACAAAGCCGATTTCCTATATGCGAGAAAAATGGTATGGTTTCATAAGTCACCAGGAGAACTTGTAATAATTTAACAAATTTACATGACAGAATTCATATGGCTTACGATGTAAATTTTTCCTTTAATCTTGTTTCTGTATTCGAGCAAAGATGATATCTCCGTTGCTTTAACCGACTTAAACGATCGCATACACTCATTAACCTTCTGTGCCTCGGCGAGGCCATCTATTCAAAATGTAAACATCGTTGAGCAACAAAATTCAGTCCCCGCGGTAAAACCAAAGTACAGGTGATATGACTATCAAAGAAGAACAAAAGGACAAAAGAGTAAAAAAGGATAAATATCGGTTTCGATGAACCGTATCCCTGAAGTTGTTTTAAGAAAAGGATAATTTTCCTTTCTTTAACCAAGCTTTGGCACTGAGTAGTTCTCGGGGGGCTACCTTTAGTCTCAATAAACAAAACAAAGCTGATTACTGACAAATACCTTTCATTTACTTTCTTTAGTCCAACTTCTTTTACTGAGTTGGATCTAGTTTTCCATGAGGAACAGATCCAAATGATTTTTCCCATAGTAAAAACTCCTTTCTTACTCGCTTATTAACTTTTTCCTGTCTTTATTTTGTATTTTGTTATTTTATAAAAGCTGTAAGCAAAGTTGAATTCGATTCTCTTTCCCTCAGTAACTGGATTTAAGTAGCTCGTTACCTGTGTTCCATTCATCGTTGCGATCACATTGCCGACATTCAGCCAACAGCTCTGAACGCTCTTTTTTTAAGTGAACGCAGTGATGATTTGCATAGATATTATTATTGTTCTAAATTGCATACGTTAGCTTCTCCAGAAATTTAAGAATATCGACAGATGTACCTGAACCTTCATTTTGATTAGCAAAAGTATCTACAACTGTAGTTACCTCAGATGAAAGAGTTGGGAATGATCTCATTTGGATAATTCTACTTTAAATAGAAATATCATTGGCCTCAGGAAAGTTTTAGAAAGTTCCATTTTCTCAGTCTATTTTCTTCTCTTGACGTGTATGTAAACAGCTGGTAATTACAACATTCAGTTTAAGGAAAGGAGAGACTTCCCTGAGAATTTATTAGTTATCGCATTTTTTATTTTGTTTCGTAAAAAATTAGCTGTAAAGAAGCGATACTACCTCGTGGAAAGAATCTGCCACAAAATAACATGCATGTCCTTATTTATAAACATCTTTGTTAATTGCTACAGTATTTTCGGCGTAAAACTGTAAAGGTTTTTGTACGCTTTCAATACGTATCATAAATTTGTGCTTCAGTTACTTGATGCTGATTTTTGTATTTTTTAATTGACCGCTTGTTTGCATACTATTTTTGTACCAGACGATTGACGGATGTCAGTTTCCAAGCCAGAATGAGTCGTGAAAAACTAATATCAGCTAACAAAAAGCGAGGAATGTGTGTGCGAGAACGGCCTGGTAATTGAGGAGCGGGAAACGGGGAAAAAATGAAGTTAAAATGAAAGCTGGCTGTTTTCTTCCCCTGCGAGGCGTGATCTAAATTAAAAAGGCAATAAAACTTAAGCAAACGACTGGAAAGCAAAAACTGAAATAGCGTTATTTGTTGAATAACGTTTGACAGCTGGTTTCATGTGATGACAGCTTATAATAAGTGAAGGAAAATGTTGCAGGATGTAGTATACAGTATGTTAAAGGATCACAGAGAAACCAAGAGATTCTTTTGAGAAAAAACTTATTAAACTGAAAAATTTAATTTTACCGTTTTCCGTTGCCATAAACGACCGCATAAACGCACTTATGTTAAGTGCTCTGGTGAGGTCATTTATTCAAGGTGTAAATATTACTGAGCGACAAATGTCATGCACTCCCAAAGGTAAAAGCAAATTACAAAGTGGAGGTGATATGAGTGCTAAGGAAGGAATTGATGAAGTTTAAAAAGCGCAACATTTCTTTCAATTCTAGATCAATTTTGTTTTCTTAATTCAGTCAAACCCCAATGTCCCATGTACTTCTTTGATATCTCTTTTTATTTCTCATGCCAAAGAATAAACAGATGTTATTCTTTCTATTGCTCTAAATATAATTTCGTCCCTTCGTTTAAACCTATTTCAAGCACACTCATTCAAACAATAAGTTAACTTTCTTTTCATTGTGAAAAAAGAGGATTTTAATTATATGTTTTCTGGTATATATAACAAGGCGAGGTCGGGTTAATTTTTCGCGAACACAAAAGTCATGAAAGGGCTGTGGTTATGTAATATGTTTTGTCTTTATTTACTGGATGCTACATGTGATCAATTCGATCTTATTTTTTTATCTGATCCTTTAACCTCTTGGAAAAATTTCAACGACAGCGCTCTACAAAAAGTGTTTACAAAATATGTACCTAGAATTATATATATCAAACGATCATTAAGCCATAATTATTCTAAATAACGGTTTAAGCCGTCATAAAAATTTTCTTAAAAATTCTTTGAGCTGCCAGTTAGGTATAGACACGAAGTCGTGCGGTCTGAAGTGACTTTTTCTAAGGAGTTTGAAGATCCTGGTTTATTTCAACTTCCTTAACCGGTCATTTTGAATTAATAAGTGCCAGAATACCAGTAGACAAGATATTTTATATATATATTTTTTAGCGGGGTCGATTGAGTTGTATCCCAATCTTTAAACTTCGTTCGTGACTATTCAAAGAAGGAGTTTCACTTCAAAGTCGTATTAATTAGCCCATTTCTGTTATATATCAGCAGTAAAGCTGACATATTGTGTACCTGCACCAGAAACATCGTAAGCTAGTGAGCGAACATGCAACAGCTCGGGGGCTCAAACTACAACATAGCATATGGGTCAACCAGAAAGAACTGCCAGCTGTCCAACTGTCAGCTTAATCAATAAGTCGCTTTCTGCTCAAAGACTTTCGAAATTCTTGTAACGGTGACAGCTTTTCAATCGACGTATTCCGGCCATTTATATCGTGTAAAGCCGCTCCATAAAATATTTAGCATTTTCTCTCTTTCGGTTTAAAAAGCATCTAGGTCAACCAGAAAGAAATCAGCTAAAGAGACTCTTAAAGCCTTGATGATAATTTCCATAGAAAGCGAAACAGATTAGTGATGGTAATAAAACCGAGTGAAGTCTAATTCGGTCTGTAATCATACGAGGGATCGACTAAATCGAACGACTGCGAAGTGGGAGTCCGATTTGTTGATCACGAGTATGATTACAGATAGACTTGGAAGACAAGAAGTGAAAACAACAATTTTAGAGAAATTTATTTACATATAAAAGACGAAACACAAGTCATTTTTAAGGAAGGTAGCTGAACGCAATGCGTGATCTGAATCTAAAGGCAAACATGAATAAAGCACATGATAGAATGGCGACTACCGAAATAGAATAATTTAGTGATGTTGAATGACAGTTGACAGCTTGTCTCAGAATCATCATGCATGAGAAAGAAGTTTTTCTAAAATAGAAAAGTTTAAGTGTGACGTTAACGGCAAATGGTATTGCAAAAGGCGACTATACAACGTTTTTCAGTCTACTTTCAGCTTTAATACCTGCCAGACAACTTTGGATTATTTCCGTCCAGCTAATGGCTATTATAATTTATATGTTAATAATCAGACTTTTTTCCATAAATTGAGTGAAGAAAACACTTATTTAAATAGAGTGTAAGAACCCACAAGAGAAGTGCAACCTGAGGAAGACACTCAGAATCTCTGAGCGTGTAAATTAAAAATTCATTTTTAAGCCATAGATGGTCATAGATGTGAATCAAGTTAATGAACCACTTCTCTGTACTTTCTCATCTGATCTGGCTTTATTTTTACGAACTCAGAAATATGATCATACTCAGACGGCCCAGACGAGAACGGAACAAACGAAGGATCTAATGGGTAAAACAAATAGCTCAGCACGTGCGTTTTAAAATTTCCTACATTATTTTAGCCGTCCTCTGCAAAACATCAACGTGAAATGACCAAAAATTTGCGTCCACTGGGAACGGAAACCCCGACGGCAAATTTAGAATTCGACACCGCTCTCATACGTTATGCTGAAGTTGAGATGTGGCGCTGTAGGTGACGGTAAACATATCTACCCATTTGTAGACTTCGCAAAACCCCAACTAAAAATATAAATTCATTTGTTAAACTACATGTTCTTGCCGTTAGGATTGTTTAAGGTTAAAACGTATTACGTTTTGAAATACAACATGTATAGTAGTTTCCCGATTCCAGTTCACATATTAAGATCTTTCGTGGTACGAATTGATGGTTTCAGTAATTTTTATTTTTCTCAGTGGTCATTTGGTTGTAAGAAGTTTGTGAACTGAGCACGTCAATGGAAA